TAATACTGAATTAAGCTTCCATATGTTTCCCTATCAGTCTCAGACAGCAGTTTTCAAAGAGTTTCTACTAAGAGCAACAAAGTATAACAAGTTACAGATGCTTGGAGATGATCTCAGAACTGATAAGAAGATAATTCTGGTTGACGATTTACCTAACCAGTTTTCTTGGAATTCTCATACTTTACGTGAAGCTCTAAGGAAGTATGTGAAGATTGGTTGATGTCCTCTTATATTTATAATCTCTGACAGTCTCAGTCGAGATAATAATCAAAGGTTATTGTTTCCCAAAGAAATTCAGGAGGAATATTGTATCTCAAATATTAGTTTCAACCCTGTGGCACCAACAATTATGATTAAATGTCTTAATCCAATAGTGATTATAGAAGCTAACAAGAATGAAGGAAAAATTACTGTCCCTGACAAAACTTCTCTAGAGTTGCTCTGTCAAGGATGTTCTGGTGACATCAGAAGTGCAATAAACAGCCTCCAGTTTTCTTCTTCAATAGGAGAAAACAACGCATGGCCAAGTAATAATCCAAATGAAGAAGAAAACCTGATAGGGTTTTTGAAAATGAAGAGGTCGAAGCTATTGGTGGCAAAGATGTTTCTCTGTTTCTCTTCAGAGCTTTGGGGAAAATTCTAATTTTAAAAGAGCCTCTTTATCAGAATTATACTTACGTCAGTTGCCTCTCATTTACCAAAATATTGCTTGTTGAACCTGAGGTTGTAGTAGAAAACTCACACATGCCAGGAGAATTATCTAATTTATATCTTCACCTAAACTATGTAGATTTCTTTGTGGAAATTGATGATATTGTGAGAGCCAGTGAATTTCTAAGCTTTGCAGATATCCTCAGTGGTGACTGCAATACACGCTCTTCACTCAGGGAATACAGCACATCTATAGATACGAGAGGGTGATACATTCCAACAAAGTCTGAGAATACGCTCATTGCCAACGAGGAGGATCAAGTTTTTGACTCTTGCACAAACCCCAGTGGTTTCTAATAAATAAAAACTATTGGGAAAATTCCCTGGCAGCAAAAGGACTTTTTCCTGACTTCCATCTACCAGCTTTATGCCTCCAAACTCCGCTGTTGCCGTACTGACTACTAATCATTCCATTGAGAAATCAAGCTCAGATTTCTTTTATCTAAGATATTGGAAGGCTCCTTCTGAAGTGACACTTTGGAAGATTGAAAATGGAAGCCCTGACTGACAAGGAACATGGAATGATAGAACCTGACAGTGGAGATGAAGCCCAACTTAATGAAAGACATTAAGCCCAGCTTCATGCAGTGGTATCTCTGGGTGAATCTACTCAAGCCACCGAGCCGGAAACCTGGTCTCCTCCTTTGAGTCAGAATAGTGCTAGTGAACTGTCTGCCAGCCATTCTCAGCCCTTTTCAGCCCAAGGAGACATGGAAGAAAACATAATAGTAGACCATGAGAGGGATAAATATATATACATATTCACATAGATTTCAGTTATATACCTGCAAACCTCTGGGAGAAAACATAAGAAAAAGTAATACAGCATACTTACAGAAGCCAGCAGTAGGGGGAAGAATTTTTATCTTTTAAACTTTTTTGTGGTTAAACTCAAAATGACCCCCCAAAAATGTATTAAATAGGGAACTCCCACTTAGGTTGTTTGTACATTCTACAATGTGCAATAATGAAAGAATGTGAATGTAGCCAAATATTAATAGCTTTTTTGTAAAAACTTTTTTAAAAACTAAATTAAAAATCTTTTACTTTCCTGAAATCTCATAATAGGTGTTCACTGGAAACAAATACATTTTTCATAATACCCCTTTATCTCTGGATATAGAATTATTTTTTATTTTTTAAAATTATTTACTTTAGGTGCTACTATATCTGGCATTTCTCCCCATGTTATCCCTCCCCACCCCACCGCTGTCTTTCCCTACCCCCCTCAACTGCCCCCAGTGTGTGATGCTCCTCTCCCTGAGTCCACATGTTCTCATTGTTCAACACCCACCTATGAGTGAGAACATATGGTGTTTGGTTTTCTGTTCTTGTGTTAGTTTGCTGAGAATGATGGTTTCCAGAGTCATCCAAGTCCCTACAAAGGACTCAAACTGGTTTTTTATGGCTGCATAGTATTCCACGGTGTATATGTACCACATTTTCTTTGTCCAGTCTATCACTGATGGGCATTTGGGTTGATTCTATGGAAGTCTAGTATTTCTTTTTTTTTTTTTGAGACAGAGTTTCCAGTCGACACTCAGAAACAGGTTGTTCAGTTTCCAAGTGGTTGTGCGGGTTTGTGTGTGTTTCTTGATCCTGAGTCCTAGTCTGACTGCGCTGTGGTCTGATAGACTGTTTGTTATGATTTCTGTTCTTTCGCATTTGCTGAGAAGTCATTTGCTTCCAATGATGGGGTCAATTTTAGAGTACGTGCAATGTGGTGCTGAGAAAAATGTATATTCTGTGGATTTGGGATGGAGCGTTTTGTATATGTGTATTAGGTCCACTTGGTCCAGCTCTGCATTCAAGTCCTGGATATCCTTGTTAATTTTCTGTCTCATTGATCTAACATTGAGAGTGGAGTGTTGAAGCCTCCCACTATTATTGTGTGGGAGTCTAAATCTCATTTTAGGTCATTAAGAACTTGCTTTAGGGCCGGGCATGGTGGCTCACACTTGTAATCCAAGCACTTTGGAGGCCAAGGTGGGCAGATCACCTGAGTTGGGAGTTCAAGACCAGCCCGACCAACACGGTGAAACCCCGTTTTTAAAAAAAAAAAAAAGAGAGAGAACTTGCTTTATGTATCTGGGTGCTCCTGTGTTGAGGGTGTATGTATTTAGGATACTTAGCTCTTCCTGTGGGATTGATCCTTTTACCATTATGTAGTGTCCTTCTTTGTCTCTTTTGATCTTTGTTGAAGTCCATTTTATCAGAGACTAAGATGACAACCCCTGCTTTTTTTTTGTTCTCCATTTTCTTGGTAAATCTTGCTCTATCCCTTTATTTTGAGTCTATGTGTGCCTTTGTATGTGAGATGGGTTTCCTGAATACAGCACACCGATGGGTTCTGACTTTTTATCCAGTTTGCCAGTCTGTGTCTTTTCATTGGGGCGTTTAGGCCATTTACATTCAATGTTAATATTGTTATGTGTGGATTTGATTCTGCCATTTTGTTACTGACTGGTTTTCTTTCCCATTAGTTGCCTCATTTTCTTCATTGCATTTTTGGTCTTTGCTAACTGGTTTGCTTTTGCAGTGACTGGTACTTGTTCCTTTCCATGCTTAGTGTTTCTTTCAGGAGCTCTTGTAGGGCAGGTCTGGTGGTGACAAAATCTCTCCATAATTCCTTGTCCATAAAGGATTTTATTTCTCCTTCACTTACGAAGCTTAGTTTGGCTGGATATGAGATTCTCCCCACTCTCTTCTGGCTTGTAGGGTTTCTGCAGAGAGATCTACTGTGAGTCTGACTGGCTTCCCTCTGTGGGAGACCTGGCCTTTCTCTCTGGCTGCCTTTAGCATTTTTTCCTTCATTTCAACCCTGGTGAATCTGACGATTATGTGCTTTGGGGCTGCTCTTCTTAAGGAATATCTTTGGGGAGTTCTCTGTATTTCTTGAATTTGAAATTTGGACTGCCTTGCTAGGCTTGGGAAGTTCTCCTGGATAATATCCTGGAACATGTTTTCCAGCTTGGATTCATTCTCCCCATCATATTCAGGTACACCAATCAAGCGTAGATTAGGTCTTTTCACATAATCCCATATTTCTTGCAGGCTTTCATTTCTTTTCACTCTTTTTTCTCGTCTTGCCTTCTCTTTTTATTTCATTGAGTTGATTTTCAATCTCTGATATCCTTTCTTCTCCTTGATCGATCTGGCTATTAAAACTTGTGTTTGCTTCATGTAGTTCTTGTGCTGTATTTATCAACTCCATCAAGTCATTTATGTTCTTCTCTATGCTGGTTATTCCAATTAGCATTTTGTCTAACTTTTTTTCAAGGTTTTTGGTTGCTTTGCATTGAGTTAGAACATGTTCCTTTAGCTCAGAAATGTTTGTTATTAGCCACCTTCTGAAGCGCGTTTCTGTCAATTCGTTGCACTCCTCGGTCAAGTTGTGATCCTGTGTTGTTGAGGAGTTGTGATGCCTTGAAGGAGAAGAGGTGCTCTGGTCTTTGATGGTTTCATCTTTTTTGTGCTGTTTTTTTCCCATCTTTGTGGATTTACCTGGCTGTGGTGTCAGGGAGCTGCTTGATGAGGTTGCTTGTCTGCCCAGGAAGGCCAGGTTCCTGTAGTTCTCTAACATCACATTCCTATATAAATTCTGCTGTGCAGTGTCCAGGCATTGCCACTCCTCCAGAGAGAATTCTATGGCCACATCCCTAAATGTCAATGGTTCCTCTGCACTCAGCACCCGAGTCTGCACCCGGCACCAGGCTCTGCACTCGGCACATAGATCTGCCGCATGGCTCCCCTGGAAGGCTCCAGCTCTGATTTTTTTCTAACTGCACTATAGTGTACATAAGAATTACCTGATAAGCTTATTAAGCTACAGATTCCTGAAATCCCCCCTCACCCCAGAGATTGTGACTGCGTGGGTCTGGGATGGAGTCTTTGGTTGTTTGTTTGAGACTGAGTCTCGCTCTGTCACTCAGGCTGGAGAGCAGTGGCGTGATCTCGGCTCATTGCAGCCTTGCCGCCTGGGTTCAAGCCATTCTCATGTCTCAGCCTCCAGAGCAGCTGGGACTACGGGCTCACACCATCATGCCCAGCTAATTTGGGAATGGAGGCTTTGAATGTAAGTTCCTAATAAGCTACCTAGTGATACTGACACTGTCACTTCTGGGGCCACAAATAGAGTAACACTGCTATTGACTACAGTGCTATGATGTGTAAATCTGAGATTATTACTGCAAGTCTTACTGAAACTAATAAAACTTTAAATTTAACTCCACTGTATGTTTTGACTCAAAGTTAATCATGTGACTTAATTCCACACTTTCTTTGTTTAGTAAGAAGCCATTAATGGTTATTCATCACCTGGAGGATTGTCAATATTCCCAAGGTAATTTTAGCTCCTGAGATTTTATTATAATACATAATATATCCAATATAAAATAGGAAAAGTGACCTGGTAATAATAGCTATGAAGGCACTCAGCAAATTCCATTTAAAAAAAAAAAAAAAAAAAAGATGACTGTCAGAGTGCCAGCATTTTACTAAAGTGCTTAAAGGCCATAATGATTGTTACCAATCTACTGAATATTTCTGTTATATCCCCTTGGGAATTAGATATTCCTCTTCTTCCCACAAAAAGAAAGGTGGAGAAACACTGAAAAAAGTTGTTGCCTTAACCAATGAGTCAATGAGTTACATAACATTATAAAATTAGTGTCTTCACTGTGATTATCCTTTGATGTCTCTTTGAACAGACTGTCCCTCACTGCTTTTCAGTGAAGGACAAAGTAGCAATACACCAATGAACTATTAATATTTACACCTGAGTTGTATATGCAAACAAATGCTAAATATTAGCTTTATTTTGCTATGCTATATTAAAGATGTCTTGATCCTTCAAACTAACTGGTAATTTTGTTTTTCCCTACAGGACTAAAAAGAGTATTTGCCCAAAATGAAGAAATACAAGAAATGGCTCAGAATAAATTCATCATGCTAAACCTTATGGTACATGAACTTTCTATTTTCTTAATATTATTATTTAAAGGAAAATTTGAATCCCTTTTCTTCTTTTAAAGCACAAAGAGCTATATGTTGGTTAATACAGAAAGTTATATAGAATTATAAAAGGCCAAAATATAGAATTTACCAACAATCGAGTTCACACAAAATTATCTTGAAATTAACTATCAAAAACAAACAAATCCAATAACATTTTTTTTTCTTTTCCTGCTAGCATGAGACCACCGATAAGAATTTATCACCTGATGGGCAATATGTGCCTAGAATCATGTTTGTAGGTATGTAGGTGATCTCATTTCATCAGATCTATAAAATTAGTAGAAATTAGCATTCTTGTTTTATTTTTAAATGCTAGTATAAGTACTATTCTTTTTCAAGAGAAGTCATTTATAATCTAATCATTATCAACTCTGGTTGGCTCTACAATCAAAATCCACTATATCTGTAATTTGAAAATTTTGAATATTTTTTCAAAGCATGTATGCTGTTAAATCTGTATCCCAATGTACTTTCAGTACAGTGCTTCATACTAGATTGACTAGAGATCTATGACACACTAAAAGGAGAATTCAGGTTAATTCATCAAGAACTGACATGTATGAAAACTAATTTTGCTTATAAATTTGCTTGACATTTGTTTTAGATTAAGAAACAAAAATGATTTTAAGAACATTTTATGGATGCAACTGGAGGTCATTATCCTAAGTAAATTAACACAGAAACAGAAAACCAAATATGCATGTTCTCACTTATAAATAGGAGCTCAATACTGTTTACACATGAACACAGAGAGGGGAAAAATAGGCAATGGGAACTCCACAACAGGGGAAGAAGGGAGGGGCCAAGGGTTGAAAAACTATTGGGTACTGTGTTCACTATTTGGGTGTCGGGTTCCACGGAAGCCCAAACTTCAGCATCACACAACGTATCGATGTAACCAACTTGCATACATAACCCCCGAATATAAAATAAAATTTTTAAAAAAGTAAAAAAAGAACATGCTAAATTATACTTTAGTGACTTGTTTTTTTTCTTGACAGACCCTTCTTTAACAGTCAGGGCTGATATAACTGGAAGATACTCTAACAGATTGTATACATATGAGCCTCAGGACTTACCCCTATGTAAGTATTCACAAACGACCTGAAACAGTGGTCATAGCTGACTCCTGTTTGTTAAGGGCCAGTGACGCCCTACATCAGTGCTTCTCCACAAACTGCCATCTACAAGCCAGAATCATTGAGGCTAGTGGTGGTATTTAAAATGCCAACTTCTGGCCAGGTGCAGTGGCTCATGCCTATAATCCCAGCACTCTGGGAGGCCGAGGCGGGTGGATTACGAGGTCAAGAGATCAAGACCATCCTGGTCAACATGGTGAAACCCCGTCTACAATAAAAATACAAAAAATAGCTGGGCGTGGTGGCGCGTGCCTGTAATCCCAGCTACTCTGGAGGCTGACGCAGGAGAATTGCTTGAACCCAGGAGGCGGAGGTTGCGGTGAGCTGAGATCGCGCCGTTGCACTCCAGCCTGGGTAACAAGAGCGAAACTCCGTCTCAAAAAACAAACAAGCAAAAAAAAAAAAAAATGCCAACTTCTAGCTCTCACCAAAATCAGAATTTTGGGGCTACCTGAGAATCTATTTTAACAAGGATGCCTAAGGGGTTTTATGATTTCTAAATTCTGAGACCACTAAAAAGAATATAGTACACATTAAAATGACACAAACTTGAGATAGCCCATTCTCCTAGTACCAAATATCTCATGTGATTTCCTCAAATGACGATAATAGTAAAATCATTTCATCTTTCTTTAATGCCTGTAAGCAAGGAGGTACAGTCTTACTTAGGACTTTAATCCTCTTTTTTTTTTT